TTTATTAAACGATAGCCACTTACAGTATCTACAGTACATTGTGTTTTAAGTAGAACTCTTAGCAAAGCTGATTTTTGTTAGATTCATTGTGCTTGCACAGTTAGCTGTGTTAGTCCTGGACTTTTGCCTGGCCCACAAGACCCTTTAATCAGCCTTTGTGTTGCCACAAGGCCCTTTATCTAACCTTCGCCTCCTCTGTGCACCACCAGTCCGACCCAGCGCAGCGAAGATACAGGCGGGCTCAGCGCTGTTCAGCCTGTAATCTGATCCCAGTTCACTGGTGCTGCTCACCGTCTTCTCAAGCAATAGTCAAACTTCATAAGAACACTTCAGCTGTTTCCAAAACTATAAACATTTTACAGGAGTGGATATCCTCATATGGAACAGCAGACCCCTTGTGAAAAGCCTCTGCGACTGGGAGGTGTAATTCGAAACTGGCGTGCGTTTTTCATTCACGGACAGCTGTGCATGCGATGGAAGTGGGCAGCGTCTCACAGTCTCCCTGTCCCCCGTGCAGCATCTAGCACTGCCCTGCGCAGTGGCAGAGGAGCAACAACTCTCCGCCCTACATAGAGAATGTGGTGCCAGGAGTGGAGCAGATTGCCAAATTTTAAATGCCGTGGTTTTCAGCCGAGGGCTGGAAACGCGTCTGGTGCCCAGTAAAATAAGCTAATGATTTTGCGGTCCTTTATTGACCAAAACAATAACAGAGCTCATTATGAACAATTTCAATTTACAGTTTCAGTTAATTGTTCTGGGTGAAACTCTAGATATTGAAATTATAATGTGTCTCCTTGATCTGAATTTCTCAACTCCTGAGGCAAGTGTTTTGAGTATATATACGTTTGCCTCGTTGTTTTGAGAAACCTTCTGAATATATCTAGTTTCACAATCCTTCACAAACCTGGATTGTGACTCCCAGCTCCCAGTCACACAACAATTTCAACTGCATGTACTATAATTTGTGCAGTGTGGAAGTGACTCAATAACCTCATTACGGGCTGTCATAGCTATACAGCAGTTTTTTTCAAATTTGTATTTGTGAAACATTCATGTTAAATTGATTCTTGTAACCTTCTAATCAGTATGCTTGCATCTAATTGATCTGAGGGTCTCCCCTACCAGTTTTTTAAATAAGCCAAGATATTGCAGAAGCCTTTTCTCCGTTTTTAAATGCTTTTGCGAGAAATGCAGATATTATGTGTATCCTCGTGTTAGTTTCACTACTGGTTCAGATAAGGTCCATTGGGTTGACCTCATCAGATCCTTTAGGATTTTGAATATTGGAATCAAGTTCCCCGATAGCCTTAATTAAGGAAGATGAAAAAGTTTATTTTAGCCTGCCACTATAGAATGTCTTTAAACACAGGGATGATTCTGGTAATGACTTATTCAAGAGCAGAAATAGTATTATGTGGTGACCAAAATTATGCACACTGTTCTAAATGAGATCTTACCACTACATTGAATTTTAACAAAAGATCCCATGATTTTAAATGCTATGGTTTTTAACTATGCTGATATTGTTTGACTTTTTTATTTGAAGGTGAAAGTGTCACACTGTCTTTTTTTTTAGATAGCTGCTTCTGCATAGAACGCTCCGCATTTCTCTACATTAAATGTCATCTTCCATGTGTTTGCCCAGTCTTGAATTGTCCAAACTATTTTTATTTTCTGTGCAGCTTGTAGAATTTGTGAATCCTCCTTTTTTGTTTCCTTTCTAGTTTAGTTTGTTATAAACTAGGACCAGTGGTCTCCAATAGTCACCTCAGTTGCAGAATAAGCCCCTTAGTTGTGCTTTTGTTGTCCACCATGTTATGTGTGTTTATTCACAACTCCTTTATATTGCTTTTTGGGATGTCCAGGTCCTGTCATTCACTTGTAAATGGGTTAATAAAACCACAAATGAAAGTGGATGGGATATTTCAGTACGTACTGTAGGATTTGTATGTGGTTCTGAAAAAATCTATTGAAAGCATGCTCCTAGGTTTGAGTGTGAAAACCTGCATTTTCTGTCAGCAGTCATTCTTTCTCAAGTAATTGACATTATTCTGGGCTTGTCGCAGTGGTTTAGTTTATATCGTTCATCAGCGGGACGTCTGCGGTAGGGTGTGCAGACGGTGGGCCAGACTGTCTCTGCAGCCTAATCTTTTCGTTTGTGCTGCCGCCATCTTTTTCCTGCTGCCCTTTTCCCAGTTGTTTGGGTTCTGAACCAGCCGTATGAGCGTGCAGTTCGGGAGATGTGCCTGTCCGGCCACAGCTGAGGTGTGTGCCCTGGGCCCGCGGACCACACATTGCCACATGATGGGGAAGCAGCACAGAGATGGGCTGGAGCCCACAGGCCCAAAGAGGTCTTTGTCCCCAGAGGTCTGCTGTGGAGGCTGAGGCAGAACACACTACAGTACCTGCTGTGTTCCAGCGTAGTGCGCAGTGGACTTTATCGTTATTTAACCGTAGCTTTGGATGGCGTCTAGTTGTTTATCGAGTTATTTATTGAGTTATGTTTCCACCAGTTCCCAGCTGTGATTTAATTTGATTCTTTTCTGGCTTGTGTGTGTACAGTATGTGTATCCTGGATCCAAGTGCTGGTTTCCAGTGCTTGCTCTTAGCAGGAAGGACCTATGACCAGTTGCTGCCTCATGAGACTGCCAACACATCCTGTTTTTTCTGGGAGTTTTTCTTTCCCTGAAAGCACTCTCCTCACGATGTGTTATTTGATTGGGGAGTATGTGTGTATTTATTGTACACCAGGGACTTTGCTGTATGTATGATATACATGTGCTGTTTTTTCAGAGGTAGCGATAAATGCCCAGAGGAGCCATTTTGTTGTTTTTACGTCATTCGCTGGTCTATCTGGACCGGCTTCCCTCCTTTTTTCCCCTTCCATATACGTCTTAAATACGTGATGGACGTGATTTGGACGTCATTCCATCCCGAAATAGTCCACATCTGATCATAGGACATCTGCTTTCCTCGTTTATAACGTTTTGTCGAAAAAAGAGTGGGTTTGCTTTAGCTTGGATTTCTGGATACCTGCTTTGGTTCAGAACTTGAAGAGGTTGCAGCTGTTCAGTATGTGGGATCTGGCTGCTTCAGTCGAAAGTAGAAATCACTACTTTCCATTGGCTTCAGGAGTTTCTAAAAAGGAGTTCAGAGATGAAGGAAATGCATCAGTCCTCTGAAATGTGCGTTTGCCATCTGTCTGCTTCGTTGTGCACTGTGAAACCGAAACGCCTGGGGCTCTTGAGCCAGGAGGAGATCAGACACACAAGTAGCAGCACCTGGCCCTACCCTGACAGCACTCGGCCAGCTGTGTGCACGAAGGAAGCAGTGTGTGTGAGAGGGGCTGTGACACTTTAAATCTGCAATGTGTGAGAAGCCGGTGTGGTTTTCCATAGCTGTGCTTGTGTTTGTAAACCTTACTGCATTTTATACACTTACAAATTTTAAAAATCAGAACAAGGCAGCTTTTTAAGGGCCAAATCATACAGCGGGTTTCTTATTTATAGACTCGTATGGCCTGAATATCCGCTATAGGCAGCCTGTCTGATTCATTCACTCTGGCGTGCCCAGGGTAGAATGGGAAACTCGTAATGCGCTGTACAATGTTCATGGTACAGCAAAAATATTCATGAGGCTTCAGATCTGCTCCACCAGGGGTTGAATCTGCAACAGTCACCGCGCAGGGCACAGCCCCGTTCTGAACCTCTGGAGTGCAGACAGGCCACACCTCCCCTTCCTGTGTCTGGCTGCTGTCTTCCCCTGTGGGAGGGCGACTCTGCAGCCGAGAGGGGCCTGGGGTGGGGGAAGAGGCGTCCAGGCGCGGCCAGAGACCAAGGCAGAAGCCTTGGTTTCACTGTTTACAGTCTGGAGGGGAAGGTTGGTTATTTTCTCCCTCACTGGGCAGATGTTGATAACAGCAGACCTATAGAAGTCTTCTAAATTTTCAAATGGCTTTGTGGCAAACCAGGCATAAAAAAGGACTAAAAGCAGTATTTACTCTGCGTCTGTTTCTCCTCAAGCTCTCCATCAACAGTAGCAGCACGTGTGATATTCTTAATGGCTGTCTTAAGTGTCCTATATGCAGTTGCTGGAAAGGAAGTTTCACCGTATCGGTGAAACTGAGGGATGGGAAAAGCACATTAATGCTCGAAAAGAAATTCAGAGTTGTTTTAGGCAAAATGAGCAAATACCATTCCGTTTAACTCCTTTGTACAGGATGTTTTAAGCCTCCTCTGTATTGTAAAACTGGAGCCACGCAAGTTGATATTCATCTAGACCCTTTTTGCATGTAGCTTTTTTAAATCTTGCTTCTGACTGTCACAGTTGTTGGAGTACGCATTACAGTATGCAGTCCTGGACTTCAGGAGCATGAAGGGAATATTAAAGGTGGTGGTGGAGGGGAGTCTCCATTATCTGTAAAGTGCTTTGAGTGGAGTGTCCAGAAAAGCGCTATAGACGTGTAAGCTACTATTATTAAAGGATTTATGAAAAGTTTACCTGTGTGGTAGTTGTTTACTTTTTCTTTTAAACTAGAATACAAAAGCATATTTGCTGTACAGACATTTGATTCCTTTTCTAGCTGCTTTAGCTGTGAATAGATCTCCCTCCTCCATCTTGATTTCATTTAGAAAAAAACTAGAAGCTGATTTGAAGGACCATACTTCAGCCTTGTCTGCACTGTGATGTAGCAACAATTACACAGAGGTTTTCAGCCATTAATAACTTGAACATTGAAATGACAGATATGTGGCAGTACCCTATTTGTTTTTCGGAGTGGTTTATTACAGTTGTTTGACCTGGGATACTGAAGGCAGACTTGAAGGGTTCATTCCAGTTTTTTGTTTCCATTTTCCAATACTCTCTCAAACAAAAGCTGAAAGGCAGGCAGCAGCAAAATAGTTATTGATAAGGATACTTCTCAACACTGTTTATAAGGAGTTGCTTTCATGTACCATTTAGTATTTTAACCTTTTTTTTTTTATATTACCTTCCTCTAGTTGATGGTCTGGAGAAGGTTTCCCTCGCTAACTCTGATGTGGCTATCCCTGGATCGCAGACGCCTCCACTGAAACAGAAAGGCAAACTCTCCTCGCTGGGCAAAATCTTCAAGCCCTGGAAATGGCGCAAGAAGAAAACCAGCGATAAGTTTCAGGACCTCTCGAAAGGTAATTCCTATGGGGTGTGAGGCTGTTATTCTTTGAACTTGGGGACACAAGAAGAAGCCCAATGAGATCATGGACCGATGGCGACATTTTGGGATTTGTAAGCATTTGTCGTATTCAAATTTTGATTAAATTTTAATTTTTTTCCATGACCTTTGACGCTTTGAAAATCATTGTCCTATGTTTTGTATAATGCCTGTGCACGTTCTTAGAGAAGTGTAGCCAAACTCAAAGCCATGAGGCTCAGAAGGGGGTGACCTTTGCTCTGGTCTGCATTATCGCTGAGGGAACGGGTGGCACTGTCTCTGCTCAGGATAGACGTGACACCCACACAAATGTTTTAAAACAAGGAAGGAGGAGAATTATTGTACAAGGAGTACTATTAATGAAGCTGGCAGCCACATCATCGTGCAACTCACAACTGGCAGCCCACTGAAGGTAAGCAGGTGTGAGCCTGGTCAGTCCCTGGATGGGAGACCTCCTGGGAAAAACTAAGGTTGCTGCTGGAAGAGGTGTTACTGGGGACAGCAGGGGGTGCTCACCCTGTGGTCTATGTAGGTCCTAATGCCCCAGTATAGTGACGGGGACACTATATTGTATAAAAGGCACCGTCCTTCGGATGTAATACTGAGGTGGTGGTGGTGGAGGAGAGTCCCCATTACCTGTAAAGCGCTTTGAGTGGAGTGTCCAGAAAAGCGCTATATAAGTGTAAGCATTTATTAACACACCAGCAAGTAATCTTTAAATTCCGAATAGGCTAATTGGTTCAGTATACATTAAACTTGAAGTTTACACTACGTTAGTTACTGTACATGAAAGGTGTGGTTTACAGTAGAAGGACACAGGAGAACAGCATGAAATATTGATGTTTAGGTAGTCTGTAGGGCATAATGTTTGATTGCTTATTAAATCTTTCCTTTAGATCCAGTAAAGTGTGGGAAATTGTGATTATTGTAAGCAAACTGTATTTTGAGACATTACAATAACTGCAGAGATCCACTCAATGACTAGTTTTCCCCTACAACCAGTCTTTCTCAAGCAAAGCCCATAGTCTGGATGACTATTTATAGGGCGCAGGTTCGCAGTATCCTGTAGATCAGCTCTCACTGAGTGACAGATATACAATACTTCCACCTACACTGTCAGGGCGTATTTAGAATCACAACAAAAAGAGACCTTCACGCAGGCAAAATGCTGACCTCACCGTGGGGAAAAATGTGGTAAACGTGTTTAGTACTTTATTTAAACTATTATTGTTTTATGTCCTTTCCATTTTCATTTGAGAATCGAATTCAGTTCATGTTCTGCATAATTTTTCTCTGACGCAAAGCTGGATGCATCTCATCTTCCCTGCTGCCAGATGCTTGCTTCAGGTTGTTTAGCTCATTCCTCTTCATTCAAAAATGTTCGTTAAATTTGAGCCATTGACAATTAAAGAAATTCAGCTATTACCCTATTTTCATCTCCCCAAGCTTTTTTCATGCCTTCTTGTCCTACAGCTCGCATCTAATTTAATCTGATCTCCTATCGTGCGATGTTTCAAATTTACAATTTTAAGATCTTGTAGCAAAATACATATTCTAGCTGGTGAATAAAACTCCCTGTTGATTCACAACACTGAGTCTATATTTGCATGCAGAAAAAGGTTTGACCTTGTTACTGAGGTAACTGTATAAATACAGGTATACTGTATAAATCATTTAATTTGCAATGGCGCTATTATGGTCATAACTCAGTCTTGAGGTGAAAAAGATCCTACTTTAAGATGAGCAAATGTAGAGTTTAATCCTGGTACTATGAAGTGAATAATTGCTAAACGAAGTCAGCTGTGTGCTCCAGAACAGTGTTGACTGGTCGTATGCTCAGGGCCCTGAAGCAGAGCTCTGTGGGCTCTCTGCTTGGCTAAGTGACCGCCTGTAGCGGTTGTTCTATTATTAACTCGGCCACTTGGCTTTGAAGTTCAAGAAGGTTGAGGAG